ATTTTAATGAAAAAATGCATTATTACTGGGATTCGATTGAGAATAATTGATCATCAAACCATTATAAGGTGTAGGTAATGCTATCAGGTGATAATTGTTTAATCAAACAACAGAAAGGTGTTAATGAGAATTAACTGAATAAAAAGCTAAAAAATATAATTTGAAGAATAATACCATGAAGGAATGCTACTCATGTTGGAATTATTTCACATTATAGGTAAGAAGGTGTATCTACCTGGAATAGAAAATTCAGAAATTTTTGTATTCTGTATCAAGTCACAGTCATTGTAGTGGTCCTGATTATTACTGTTACTGCAATTTGAAGGATCCTGAGTTGGACCCCTTTTAATAAGTTGATAGGAACATGGTACAAATTAGAAAACGACTGATTCACATCCACTTTATAGTTCATTTCAAGCAAGTTTGCTAATATGAAGTTGGTAATGGTCTTCACCATACCTTTACTTAACCATGTGTTCGTCTCCATCTAAAATTTGATTCTTATAGCAGCAGCTGACGTACCTGGCTGCAGAGGAAAAGTAGAACTGATTAACATAACGCGATAAGGTCAGTCTAGGCTGTTCATTTTTCAGTCTCGTTGTAACCATTCGGCGTGTGTGTGATGTGCTCAGTGAGATGTTAACTCACAAACTACGCAGATCAATTCAGGGAACTTTCAGTGCTGATAAACTACTAGGTCCGTTTTCTGCACGCCCAGTGATGATACCGAGACTGAAAGATGAATTGCCTAGACTGGTTATTTTCTGTTATGTTTATCGTTTCGACTGCTCTTGTAGAGCCAGTTATGTCAGCTACTGCTGTAGGAATTGAATTTTCTGTGCCCATGAACACCTCCCAGGATATTATTGGTTGAATACAACCATCAGAAGGCCTTGTTGGACCTAGGTTTCGTGCTTACCAGCAATCGTCAGCACAGCGTATCTACAACCTCAATGGAACTGGTGTCCCACCTGAGATTTGAAGCCTCGCCACCCAGTCATGTAGTCAACGACTTTACCATTGAGCTATTCTGGCTATGACTGATCTCCTGTAGGACTGGGTTACATGCATGATTGATCACGGGACAGCAGGCAATTGCAGGAGGTCAACGACGGCCTGAATAGCCCAGTGGTAAAGTTACTGGGTACAACACTATGTGACGTGGTTTCAAATCTCAGGCGGGACATCAGTTCTATCGAGGATGCAGATACGCCTTGCTGATGACTACCAACAATATGAAACCTACGTCCAGCAGGACTTCCTACCGACTGCCTCGAGCCATTTAACATCTACTAAAGTGTACCACGATGCTGAGCCTCCTAGCTTTGTGGCCACATTCCAATTATGATCGGTAGGATTCAATCTGCACTCAGGACTAGACAACATGAAATTGGTTACTTTCTCGTAACTAATCATGCACCTCCTAGAATGGTCAAGCAAAGATGTGGTAAAGATCATTAACACCTCCATATTCGCACACTTGCTTGAAACGAACCATAAAGTGGATGTGAAAGAGCCGTTTCTCATTATGTACTGTATTCCCATCAACTTTTCCAAAGGTATCCTACTGTGAATTCTTCAAACTACAGAAGCAGTAGCAACCAGAATCAAACAGCCCGAGTTGTGTGTTTAAAAGAAGAAATCACTGTGGTCCGATTCGGGATTCACAGATTTCTTAACAACCTACCTCAGGTAGATACCCCTTCTTTGTCATAATCTGAAATGATTTTGACAAATTCTCTGAACCTATTTTGTTCTTCTTGGTTTATTAAATCCAATTTTCATAAGCACCTTCTGACTGTTTTATTAAACTATCACCTTATAGGATTACCCATACAGTATAGTCGTTTAGGTAATTATTTATTTTGAATTGCTTCCATCAAATACGTTCATACAGCACGTTTCTGAATTGACTTCGTCAACTGGATACTATTATTAACAAACTGATTAGCGGGTTCTCTGTATTGCTGACGCATAATTCCTCAACAGAAATATGTAGCTGTAGGACTTGAAGAAGTTACCAAAAAAGAATATTCTCAGTCATCACAATTTGATGATATTACACCTCTTCCGATTGACTGGACCCATACGTCTAGTCTTTTTGTTAGAACGGCGGGATGCTCATCTCAAAGCATGTCATTAACAAACACTATACAGTAGTGTAGTAATGATGGATAGTGGTTAGCAATGGAATCCAGGATGCACATTTCGTCCTATTTGGGGCTCGTCAGCTGGATGTACCTACCTCTCAGTGAGTGATGTTTTTTCTGCCGGGATTCGGACTCGGGACCGATCGCTCCAAACGCCAGAACGTTACCCACTACACCAGAGAGCCACGATAGCCACTTCTTGTGCGACGGGTATAGTTTTAGTGTTATTGCTTGTAGTATACCGTCGTTGATTGCACCAAACTGATCGGTCTCTATTGGCATGTGAGCTCCTGTGCGGATGCCTCGATATAACCTGTGCTTCTATGATAGTAATGATGGATAGTGGCTAGCAGTGGAATCCAATTCAGTCTAATCAATAATGATATGATATAGAAACAATTATACTATACAGTAATGTAGTTGGAAATTCATTAAAACTTTATTTCAAGGTAGTATTTATCTCAGGTTTTTTCAATGATTCTACAACAGACGTCAGTTGGTGATTGAATACTACCTTTAAGCAATCTTTTACAAGGTGTTTATCATCTTACAAAGTTTCATACGTTTATGTCAAGCTCATCAACAGTTTACTTACAATAGCTGAACAATACACAACGGACACTTCAACAATCTTACACAACATTTTGCAGAATGAAATTGGTTTCAGTAACTACTGACTAGGAATTTATATAGATCTCAATAGGAGAGTCAAGGAGTTGACTACAGTCGGTGTTAATTGGATATTAACACTAAAATATAAATTACCACCTCACTCAACCTTCATGCTTCATTTCTAATGAATCATTCGGGATGAGTTCATCCTCATAATCATCAAACACTCTAGGACACACTCTAGAAATAATCATTGTTGATCCATAGTGAAGTGGTTGAACGTATCCACCACTTTAATTACGTTAGAAGTTTGAGTAATCCCTGTGGTTTGCTGATCAAAAACACTTCTGAATAGACACAGATGGCTTATTTGACTTCTGTTAGCTTACCATATCAGTGGGAACGATGGGACATCTGAGTGATTACTGATGTCCCAGTGTGCTGTACAGAAGTTCTCTCTGTTTTGTATAGTATATGGTTATCAAGGGTGAAGCGCATAAGGAGACTCCACGTTCTAGGCCAGTATGACTTACGTAGCTATCACCGTATGTTTTGGCGCAACTGCATCAAAGGTGCAGTAGATGAGTATACAGTCGAGGGCAGATGTATATCAGTTTATGAGGCTAAGAATCCCAATCAACTGAATTAGCTGAAACGTGTATTATTCATCGGAAAGGTTAAAAATAGCCGTTTCAAAATGTGATATTAGTCCATGAACATGGTTTGCAGTGCGTGTGTGGAAAATCAGATTTTTATGTTGGAATATATGTGACAACCGAAGGTGGTGTTTAGAGACTGTGTGTGATAAGGTTCACAGCAGGTTCCAGTGGCTTAGACATATTAATGAAGAGTCTTTTGTTATTCGACCCTAAATACAATTTGTTCTCTATGTTATTTTAAAAAGTCACCATTTGATTTCTTACCTACAAAGAAGCTTAAAACTTTTGTAAGGCAAATTACTCTTTAGTATAGTTTTAATGGTATATGAATGGAAGGATAACCAAGTTCTTGGGGGTTAAGGTAATGCGTTATTGGTCACATGATGATGAATTTTCAATTTATGAAAGCTCTGTCTTTACTGATGCCTACATTCAGCAATTATTCTCTTCTAGGTCAGAAAAAGCATATTCGCGTACAAATCACTCACAGTATATTTACTTCTTGGAATTATTCTTCTACTGATTACAATTATGAACAGTATGAAATGGTTATTCAGTTTTGGAAAGGTTTCAATAGGTCTTTAGGAGGTCCTAGCCCATGTAATACATTTGCATGGAATAAGTCAATACTCCATATCCACATAGAATGGGACTAGGCATAATATATCACCTACTTCGGTATATTTAGGATTATATTTTCAGTTACATGGACCTTTTAGCTTTATCGTTAGTCAGTAGTGAAACAAATTAACACTGCTCATTGCAACTTATTGTTAGAGACATCATCCATCTACCAGTAAAATCAGTTTATAAGTTGAAGAAATGTCACGAGTAGCTTACAAATGCTTCATTCCATCCTAAAATCTTTCAGTGATTCCTGAACTTTGTAGTCAAGAAAATCAGATGTTCTGTTCCGTGGTTTATGCACATTTATAAATTGATTTTAGGTTGGAATTCATTATGGACTGACATCAGTTGAAGCACTGTACAACAGCTGTTTTGTCCTAGCATGGGACTCCTCAGCAGTGTGCACCCATGACCGCACCCTCCACAGATCGAACCCAGGACCTTCATGTTCTATAGTCAGGACATTACTATTGAGCCACTGGGTCATAATCCAATGGTCTATATTTCTATATATCATCCATTCCATCCATATTTTGAAAATAAGGATAGTTACTCAACAACGACATTTAATGTAGGCCGCACTATATCATGAACTGACAGGAGTAGGTAATATGGACTATTGGGTTCTGACTCAGTGGCTCAATGGTAATGTGCTGGCAGCGTAACCTGAAAGTCCTGGGTTTGATCCGTAGAGGGTAGGGTCATGGGTGAGCACTGCTGAGGAGTCCAGTGTTAGGACGAAACAGCTGTCTATTTCTCTCCGGTTTCTAATGTTCCTCCAATTGACGTCAGTCCATAATAAAAAAAATCAACTTGGGATGTTTATACTTTCATAGATTACTCTAGAAAGCTCACTAAACTACTCCTGTCAAGTATTATGCATAATACTAATGATCATAAATACTTTATAAAAAACGTATATACAATGGAAATATAGAATAGGTTATATTACCTAAGTCTTCAGACCAGTGTACAGATTTCGGTTCCTTTGTTGTACTATTACGTAAATGGTAGTCTGTTTTACTTGTACAATTCGTTATTTCATAGTTCAAATTGTTGTTATCCACTGAGTTCTCCGGTGTTCTTCGATATTGAAATGATTCATTAATGAATTTATTAGACTGAATGTTATACTCATATTTTGGGAAAGTTCTGTTCTGATTTTCTCGACTAACTGAACAAATAGATGTGATGTGTGATTCAGATGAACTGCAGGTGTTTGTTGTTGTTCTTATCGGTTGATGAGGTACTTGTTGTTGTCTTTGGGATGACAGATTCGTTTTGGGTATACTGTTATCTTTACTACTTAGTTGTAGGGTATTATACTTTCCAGTTGCTGAGGTTGGCGTCGTTATATTTTTCACTGTATCCTTTATGAGATGTGATGATTGTCTGTAAACAGGGAAATTGACTTCACCAGTATCTTTGTTATTTAAAGGTATGTGATGGTTCTTGTCACTATTGGGACGAATTTGATGTAAATCCTTGGGCATTGAAAAAAGAAAGATATATTTCGTTCATAAAAATAATATCAAAAAGAATGAACATGCTCTGTTTTTTCTTGTCTTTGAAAAAAATAGAACAATAATAATGGTACACAAAAATGGTAGACAATTACCCAAACCTCAAAATATAATCACCTGATGTGTAGTGAAGTCACTTTGTAGGTGACCAATCAAATACTTGCTTCATTCTTATTGGTTAATCCCAAAACACCACTGATTTCATTTCAATATACCCTAGCGTTAAAATATGAGAGTAAAACTATGGCACTATGGCAGGCTATAATTCCATTTTAGTTAAATGTACCATACAGTGGATACAATTTATTGTCTATAGTCATATAAAGATAAATTCATAATTCCCATCGTGATATTATAAACAAAATATTCAGAGAAGAGGACTCTTTTCAACCAATTTATTCTCAAGTTGTATATTCGTTTATTTATAGAGGAAGATTTAACTTCAATAATGGGAGTTTGGAATTCACGATAATCGTGGTTATGATCATAATAATGTCACTAGTTGGTGATATAAAGGTTGAATAATAACTAAAAGGGGGGTCACGTAAGACTTTCAAATCTTTTGTAAGGTCCATACAGATCAAAATGGGATGAAAATGTGGTAGAGCTAATAAATAATTAAAGGATTGGGTGATATAAAGTAGACAAGTTAATTGGAATGAATTGAAAATGTTTTAATTTGGGGGGGGGGGGGGTTTGTAGGGATTTAGTTGGAATTCATCATGAACTAACATCAGTTGGAGGAACATCAGAAACCTAGGAGTACTGGACATCTGTTTCGTCCTAGTATAGGACTCCTCAGTATTTTCGCCCCTTTTTGATCTGTATGGACCTTACAAAAGATTTGAAAGTCTTACGTGACCCCCCTTTTAGTTATTATTCAACCTTTATATCACCAACTAGTGACATTATTATGATCATAACCACGATTATCGTGAATTCCAAACTCCCATTATTGAAGTTAAATCTTCCCCTATAAATAAACGAATATACAACTTGAGAATAAATTGGTTGAAAAGAGTCCTCTTCTCTGAATATCTTGTCTATGATATCAAGAAAACTCCATTATTTTTAGACATAGTTTATATAGTTCTAATTTTCTTGCCTCCATTCTGATATGAGTGGTAGAATTCTCCATTTATCCAGAACTGATGTCCAGCTGTTCGATTACCAATCTCTTCCTCCACTTGACTAGGCTAGTTTTAAGAATTTTAAAGCTGTTCCATCCTATTCTGTGGTTGTGTGTAATTACATGAATAGCTGAGCTTTTCTCTAAATTGTAAACCTTATTAGGATCTATTAATTTTGATCTAGCTGAACTTTTGTCTTCGGATAGCCCACTTGAGACTGTTTGACTACTCTGACCTTGCAATGGTCTCAAGGGATTCGGTAAACTGAGGTATTCTGTTTAAGTGAATCAATAGGATCTTTTAAGCTACTAAGCTTCTTTTTAAGTGGGTTTGTAGGTTTAAATGTCATTCTAATCCTAACCAGTCTCAGTGATAATCCTACGTAATGTCTCTGAGGTTCTTGTATGGTATTAGTGTACAGATTTTGAATTCTGCCTTCACAGTATTGTCAATATTAACACCTGTTTTACTAATATTGGTCGTATTTTTCTTATGAATCCTAAGGAACTTATCCATTAATTTAGGAGGATGATTGTTGATGAGTAATGTGTCCTTAATGTATCTAGTTTCTTGTCTTAGGTCTTCTGTTTTACGAATAAATTCTGTAAGCCTAATACTTTGAGATTTTATTAAGCCAACTTTAAATGATATAGGGTGAAATGATTCAAGTGTGAACGTTTCCGATAGGTTTTCTGTCTAAACTCCCATTTTGTTTTCATTTTATTCCGCAATTCAGCATCGCTAATTCCCCTTCACTACATTCTAGTTCGTAGGTGGGTTCGATTGATTGCTCACTTGGGGTTGCAAAGAAAAATGGACAAATTTCAGTTAATAACTTACATGTTATGTGATGTCGTCATTCAGCCTAATCTAATTGTGTTCATTAAGCGAAAGAATCTGGGTTGATACTTCACCAACCAGTATTATTACTATTGCATTATTATTTGTCCCTTCGGTTCCTAGTGGAACATAGGGCTTCAATAGCACGTCTCCATTCCACTCTCTTCTCTCCAGTCTTTTCAACCTTACTTCACGACTGCCTACAAGATTTCATTTCTTCCTCACACCATTGCCTCCATGTCCTTCTCGCCTCGAACACCCAACTTGCAGTTTCTCATTCAGGTTCCACTCGACGGCCTGACGTGGCCTGATGCGTGATGTCCCCAAACCGTCTTCTCAGTGCATGTTCAGTCCGATTCATCACCACTTCCCTCTGCATATTTGTTGGGTGATAGGTTCTTGGTTGGTTCGTTGCCAGCCAGCCAGTCAGCCAGCCACAGTTCCTTGTTGCTTATTCTTATTATTCTGGTCATCTGATTCATCTTCAGTATCGAGTGAGCGTAGGCGGCAATTGTTCATGATGTATGTCTGTAGTTTGTTGGAAATGCTTTTCGTAATGCATCAAGTCTCTCAACCATCACATAAAAGTACTGACTTATTTGACGTTAGTGTTGAAAATCTGGATGTTGTTCATGCTTAATGCTGAGTGCAGTGGAGTAAAGTAGATCTCCACACTGATTTCAAATTAATGAAGGCCTGTCATGCTGTCTTTCAGATTCTGACTTTAACGTCTTCATCTAACCAGTATAGCTATACTTTACTCATCTGGTGCTTGACATCTGGCCAGTGCTTCATCGGTTTAAACAATACTCCGCGTATTAAAGACAAGAATCCAAGTAATTGCACATGATATATGTGTCTAATAGGCTTGGTTGCCAATGCTGACAGGCATCAAAACCTGCAGACTGCCACCAAGCGTCTAACATCAGTCAAAGTGTGCTATGGTGCCAAATGTCCTAGCCTGGCGATCATATTGAAAAATGATCGACAGAATCTCAACCAGCACATAGGACTAGACCATATGAAATTGGTTACCCTTCAGTGAGCAATCCACGTGTGTATGTGTGTGATATGGTAGTATGGAAGGTCAGACATGACTCAAATAGTCAACTGGCAACTTTTTGATCGTAGCACTTGATGAAACTGGGTTAGAACCTCCTAGGTTGTAGATGTACCCTACTGATGAATATTAACAGGTACGAAACCCTAGTTCATTAATTCCTACCGATCAACCTGCAACATCGAACCTGGGAGAGAATATAAGGATACTGCAATACGTTAGATTTGTCCAACCGAATAAAACTACGAACTTGGAAAGTACCATATTTAAGTCAGTTGAATATTTACCCTCCATTTACGTGGATCATAGTTTCTACTATATAAATGTACCTATGTTGAGCTACCTAGAGGTGAATTCGTTTATTTCTGGAAGTTATCTATGCCTTCACTTGTAAACAGCCTAACTATAAAATTGATAATCACTTGTACATGGGAAACAACAAAGGGAAACATTATTATCAAATCACGTCAGTCAGTTCCTCGTTCCGAGAAAACTTGCAGTAATCGATTCATCTTGTCACAATACAATGTCAGTCATCTTGTATCCGATAATACGGGAAACAGTAGACGTAACCAATAATTAATGATGGATAGTGACGAACAGTGAAATCCAGGACCTACGTTTAGCCCTATGTGGGACTCGTCAGCTGGATGTATCTGCTTCTCATTAAACCGTCCTGCTAATGAGTTCCGAACAAGACGATATGCATTTCCGGATTCCACTGCTGGCTACCATCCATCGATAATATCAAGAATGAAGCGGCAGGCAATATCAAAGCATCTGTAAAGGAGCACATTAGCCAACTGAGACGGATCGATTCGGTCCACTCAACGACGAGTTAATACAAGTAACAACGTAGGCAATAATTGTAACTGCTGTGCTGTTTATTGACAATATCACAAAGATTGCATGTTGATTTGTAATATTAACAAGTCAGTTGAGATAGTGCAGCGAATAATTTTTCCGGTTCCTTATCGTATGCAATGCAAATTCCCTTTTTCGTTCCTAATAACAACGGCTTTATACTGAAAGCTATTTCGGGAAAACTCTACAGAATTTGCAGCATGTCATATAGCACCGAGTGAACAGAAAGAATATACATACGCCTGGAGTCTCTGACTATCTTAATATCTTTCCAGGCAGTTGGTATGGTGTTTTCTAAAGAAACCTTTTCAGCATGTTACCTAATGGCTGGCATAAAATATCAGCACACTACGTGAATACGAAGCTTAACACACCGTCCGGATCTGAACTATATAGTGGGTTCAAGAATTTGAGACATTTGAAAACATCTTTCTCGGTGAACTCTGGACAACAGTGTGTCGACAAAGACGGGATGGGTCAGGTTGGTTGGCGTATAAACAACTGGTTCAAAGCACAGATGTCAACATGTGCTTCTTTACTAAGGCGTTTACTATCAGTGAGGTCGTTAAAATGTTTCCGCATGGTTATAGAGCCTTTACACGCCAAAATTCTTTGGTTGTGTAGTAGACTCAGATGTCTAATCTCCAACCTAGTTAAAACGTTCAGTCGATGAGTACCAGCATTACCACTTACTTTATATAGCCTTTATTTTTTTCCTCTTCTTAGTCTTTTAAGCTAGGTAGAAGATAAATGATCGGAGCTTAGAATTTATGGTACTATTAGGGTTCATAAACCAGGGTATCTCATTAGACCCATAGTTGACTTCAGAAATACCCCAACATATGAACTAGCAAAGTACTTAGCTTCTATATTATACCCTATTAGCAACCGTTCAAATTCCAGACTAGTAAACTCTTACCAGTTAAAAATAAGGCTTAATAACCTACATATAGAAGAGGATGAAAAAAAGGTTAGTATCGATGTAACAAGTTTTTATACTAAAATACCAATCGACATGCGACTAGAGGCAGTTAGAAATCAGCTAAATATTGACTCAGAAGTTACTT